ATCTTACATAAATACAAACCTAGGCAATCTTACATAAATACAAACCTAGGCAATCTTACATAAATACAAACCTAGGCAATCTTACATAAATACAAACCTAGGCAATCTTACATAAATACAAACCTAGCCAATCTTACATAAATACAAACCGAGGCAATCTTACATAAATACAAACCCAGGCAATCTTACATAAATACAAACCTCCTAGGAAATCTTACATAAATACAAACCTCCTAGGCAATCTTACATAAATACAAACCTCCTAGGCAATCTTACATAAATACAAACCTAGGAAATCTTACATAAATACAAACCTAGGCAATCTTACATAAATACAAACCTCCTAGGCAATCTTACATAAATACAAACCTAGGCAATCTTACATAAATACAAACCTAGGCAATCTTACATAAATACAAACCTCCTAGGCAATCTTACATAAATACAAACCTCCTAGGCAATCTTACATAAATACAAACCTAGCCAATCTTACATAAATACAAACCTCCTAGGCAATCTTACATAAATACAAACCTCCTAGGCAATCTTACATAAATACAAACCTCCTAGGCAATCTTACATAAATACAAACCTAGGCAATCTTACATAAATACAAACCTAGGCAATCTTACATAAATACAAACCTAGGCAATCTTACATAAATACAAACCTAGGAAATCTTACATAAATACAAACCTAGGCAATCTTACATAAATACAAACCTAGGAAATCTTACATAAATACAAACCTAGGCAATCTTACATAAATACAAACCTAGGCAATCTTACATAAATACAAACCTAGGCAATCTTACATAAATACAAACCTAGGCAATCTTACATAAATACAAACCTAGGAAATCTTACATAAATACAAACCTAGGCAATCTTACATAAATACAAACCTAGGAAATCTTACATAAATACAAACCTAGGCAATCTTACATAAATACAAACCTAGGCAATCTTACATAAATACAAACCTAGGCAATCTTACATAAATACAAACCTAGGCAATCTTACATAAATACAAACCTA